CCCTGGCGCCGCGCCCCGCCCCCGCGCGCCCGGGCTGCGGCCTCACCGCTGCGGCGTGCGGTCGTCGCTCTGAGTCACCTGGGACCTGGGCCTGGAGGGTGAGTGACGGCGAGGCCTGGAGTCGCCGGGGAGGGAGACCCGCCGCCAGCGAACATTCATCCGGAGGCGGGACTGGCTTGTGGGCGGGGAGCGCTGGAGGCCCGCCACCGGCCGGGCTGGCCCGCCCCTCTCCTTGCGGCTGGGGTCCCCGGGCTCCCGCCCGCTCCGCGCGTCCTTCGCTGGGCTGGCATCACTTCCCGTGGCTGCCACCCCTCGTGAACCCCAACGCTTAGGCGAAGACTCACTTCCGGCCCCCTGCCGGGACGGGGGTGACACCGGGGATGAGGGGCCCCTGCGCCAGGCGCAGTCATGGAGACACGCGCGCCGGCCGGGGCCCGCGTCTCCGCCGCGATCGTGACCCAGTGGGCTGATGACCCCGGCCGAGGCGGCTTTCGGCTCCAGCGTCTTAGACCTGCCTCCGGGGCGAGCCTCTGGAGGAGAGCTGTGGGCCGCTAGCACTGCCGGCCCCGGTGCTCACTGCGTCCCGCTGCGCGCGGGTATCCGCGGGGTCCTTCTGGGAGTGGTGGGCTCGGGATCCTGGTGTTTGGCACCGTCCGAGTAGTGCTCAGTAAATGGCAGAGGCTAATTTTGAGAGAGTGACAGCGCCCAGCCCTTTGGCACTTAGTGTTAGCTGTTAAAACAGCGTATCAAGCACTGGGGATACCACAGGGGTATCAGGCCTGGTCTCAGGCCTGAGGGGAGCGAGGGGAGAAGCCTTTTGGCCCACAGTGACAACCCAGGGTGCTACGGGAGTCCAGCTTAACACGGATGCATCCAGGGTGTCCGCTGAAAGAAGGCATCATTACCTGGCACGCACCTGGCACATCCTAGGAATGCAATATGTCTTTATTTATTTTGAGTTGGAGTCTCTGTTGCCCAGGCTGGAGTACAGTGGCATGCACACAGTCAATGCAGCCTTGACCTGCTGGGCTTATGCGATCCTTCTGCCTCAGTCTTCCAAGTAGTTGGAACTACGGGTGTGTGCCACCACGCCCAGCAAATTTTTTTGATTTATCGCAGAGATGAGTCCTCTCACCTTGGCCTCCCAAAGTGCTGGGATTATAGGCATGAGCCACCTTGCCCAGCCTGCAATACGTCTTTAAAGAGCAGATGTGTGTGGGTGGTTCAGCCTCTGCCCCCTTCTAGGTTGTGTGCCAGCTGGCAATTAGTGAGACACTCCCTTGGGTGCAGGAGCCAACCAGCTACTCTGATCATTACTCTCTTTCTTCTCCCCCACCCCCACTGAGAATCTAGAGTTTTAGGTCAGAATCAAAAGGAGCTTCCCCAGGGTTTCAAGCGTTGGCACAAGGGTTCTTAGTCTGGCATCAGCTCCTTGACTGGCACAAGGGTTCTTAGTCTGGAATCAGCTCCTTGACTTTGGATGCATCCATGTGTACTCTGTGCACTTGTGAGTATTTCAGGGGAGAGGAGCAGTGAATTTCATCAGATTCTCTAGAGTCTGGGACCCAAAGTGGTTAAGTATGCTGGCATAGCAGTGGACGAATATTCCCCGAAGGGAATGCACCTGACCTGGTTGTTCCTGGTTATTGATGTGTGTCACCGCACATCAATTTCACTATTGTGTGTTTGCCCCTTGCTATACAAGAGTAGTGTTTTGTTTTTAAGGGTTTGTCTTATTTGACCACCAAACTGCCAAATGGCACTGTGCCCTCTGTTTGCCTGGCTGTGGTTGCCCTTGTAGCTTTGCAGTCACTGAGATTACTTTTTTTTTTTTTAAGAGATGAGGTCTCGGCTGGAAGAGGTGGCTCATGTCTGTGATCCCAACACTTTGGAAAGCAGAGGTGGGAGGATTGCTTGAGCCCAGGAGTTTGAGATCAGCCTGGGCAACATAGCCAGACCTCATCTCTATAGGAAATAAAAAAATTAGCTGGGTGTGGCAGTGCACACCTGTAGTCCAGCTATTTGGGAGGCTGAGGCAGTAGGATCACCTGAGCCCAGGAGATCGAAGCTGTGGTAAGACATGATTGTGTGTGCCACTGCACTCCAGCCTGAGGGACAGGGTGAGACCCTGACAAAAAATTAAACTCCCAAAAAAAGAAGAGAGATGAAGTCTCGCTTTGTTGCCCAGGCTGGTCTTGAACTCCTGGGCTCAAGCAATCCTCCTGCCTCAGCCTCCCCAGTAGCTGAGTCACTGTGATTGCTTTAATGGGTGTGTGTAAGGAAACCAGCCTACAAGGTAGACACAGATGGGACGGACTGCCTTTGTTCTGAGTTGGACATAAATCCATGCCCTTACTGAACTTGAGTCTGGCTCTTTTTGGAACACAGCCAATTTTGAGTTCTAACTCACAACATGGTCTTTTGGGAGTAGCAGGAGAAATCTGGCTGCACAGTCAACACTCTTCCCTTCCTTCCTGCACATGGTTTGGAGTAACATGAGATGGTCCAGGCAGGGCAGCCAGAGCGAGCTCTTCCTTCTTTGGAAGGTGATCCAGTGACCCTGAATATCTGTCAGCCTCATCTCCACCAACCCTGGCTGTTTCTGCCCCCGAATCCCTCCCCTTCTCTCCCCAGCTAGAGCCTCGGCCCTCCCTCTTGCCTGAAAGCCTTGCCCCCGCCCCCTTGTGCCGGCTCAAGACTCTTCCTTTGTCCCGGCTCCGCCCAGTTGGTCACACCCGCTGGGGAAGGTGCCTCTGTTTTCTCCCCACTCTGGCTCTGAGCTGACAGAGATGGACCGTCAAAAAGCCAGGGCCTTCCCAGCTGGGCACCTCTGCCCCTCCCTAGGAATATGGACCCGAGAGACGGGCAGCGTGAGGCTCTCAGTGCCGCCTTCCATCAGGTAGCTGTTGCCGAGATCCATGGGCTAAAGGAGCATGTTTCAGTGCCGGGTGGGGGCTGCTTTGCGTCAAGGAGCCAGTTGGAGGGCAAGTGCAGACAGCAGCGGCTGCGGGTCCTGGAGCCACTAGGTGGGGGCAGTGTCGCCGTCCCCTCACTGACCTTCTTCCTACGTGGAAATGCAGCGTCACCCGCTTGAACCTGCCACCCCGGTGCCTTGATGTGCCTGGGGCTTGGCTGCCTGTCCCCTGACGTCTCTGCTCACCCCGTGCAGCAGGAGCCCAGCCATGGTGAACGAGGCCAGAGGGGAGGGCAGCATCAGTGGCGGTGAGAGCTCCCAAGACAGTTCGAGATGCTCCACACCCAGCCCAGACCCCGAGCGGCACGAGAGGCTCCGGGAGAAGATGAGGCGGAGGATGGAGGCCGGCGACAAGTGGTTCTCCTTGGAATTCTTCCCTCCTCGCACTGGCGAGGGAGCTGTCAATCTCATCTCGAGGTGAGCTAGGGGGAGGTGAAGGTGGGGCGGGATGGGCTGTCAGCCCTGCTGCGGGACTGCACTTTAACCCGGCAGAAGAAGGCAGCCGGAGGGGGCGGGAGAGAGAAGGCAGAGGAGACCATTTGATCTGCCACTTCTCGGTCGTCTGCAAAAGTCCCTCTGTCGCTTCGGGTATTTTTAGACTCATTCTTGAACGGGTTAAAAATGACTCTCAAATGGTGTTTTTTAGCGGAACTTGGGGCTGGATCATGACTGCCATTTAGGAAGTCACAGAGCAGAGGAGGTTAGAGAATGTTTTCAGCAAGTTAGGAATTTGGATTATGCCTCTTGATATCTAGAAAGGCCAGCTGGACTCCGTTAGCGATTCATGAATTGCAGCTTGTTAAAAAGCTCCTGCCTCTCTCCCTGGGGCGCTCCCAGGGGTGTGAGGTTGGAAGGCCCAGGGATGTCTAAGTTCACCACTGCAGCTTGTAACACACGTGCAGGCGCACAGCCAGGCTTCTGAGGCTCCTGTAGGAAGTTGGCCTTGGTCTGCAGGCCTGGGCTACAGCCCAGGGTGGGAAGGCGGCTTGAACGGGACTTGTATCTGCTGAGCCTCTTTCCTTTTCCTGGAGTGAGGCCATGCTTGCTGCTTTGAGGAGTCACTCTAGGCTGTCAAGGTGTCTTCACTCACCCGAGGTGGTAAACGTGTGAGTACTGTGAGACTCTGAAGTGTGGCTCTCACACAAGAGGGTGGCCTTGTTCTGTATTATCTCTGTAATAGTAGTGATCTCGGTCTGGTGTGGTGGCTCATGCCAGTAATCCTAGCATTTTGGGAGGCTGAGGCCAGAGGATCACTTGAGCCAAGGAGATTGAGACCAGCCTGGGCAACATAGCAAAACCTTGTCTCTACAAAAATAAAAATATTAGATGGGGCTAGGCTCACACCTGTTATCACAGCACTTAGGGAGGTGAAGGTTAGAGGATTGTCTGAACCCAGGAGTTCAAGACCAGCCTGGGTGTCTTGGCAAGACCTCATCCCTACAATGAATTTTTAAAATTAGCTGGGTGTGGTGGTGTGCACCTGTGGTTCCAGCTACTTGGAAAACTGAGACAGAAGGATCACCTGAGCCCAACAGGTTGAGGTCGTGATGACCATTAGCGTGTCTCTGCACTCCAGCCTAGGCAACAACAACAACAAAAATTAGCCAGGTGTGGTGATGCATGTTGGTAGTCCCAGCTACTTGGAAGGCTGAGCTGTGATCATGCTACTGCACTCCAGCCTGGGCAACAGAGTATGGCTAAATAAAATAAAAATAATAGTGATCCTAACGGCACCTCCCATTGCCTGAATTTCATGCCATGTCCGCCAGGCACCGTTCTAAGTGCTGTGGGCCAACTGCCATCTGTTCCCACGGAGTTATTATGAATTAGGTGCTGTTATCTGCCACATCTTTTTTTTTTTTTTTTTTTTTTTTTTG